TCAAAAACATTCCGCTCGAAATCTCCGAAACGGAGATTGAGCAGGACCTGAAAAACCAAAATATCCCGGTTATAAAGGTCCACCGTATGCACCGTAGAAACGGCGATCGCTACAACATGATCATTGTAGCCGCCGAACCTACCGAGGGCCACCACCCTATATTTAAAATTTCCCGCATTTGCGGTCTCTCGGGTCTGAAGGTGGAAAGACCCCACAAGAGTGGCACTGTCACACAGTGCCACAAATGTCAACTATACGGCCACGCGCAGCGCAACTGCTTCGGCAAACCCCGCTGCGTCAAGTGCCTAGGCGACCACGGCACGTCCGAGTGCCCCCGTCCCAAGGACCGCACCCAATGCACGGAGCCCCCCAGCTGCGTGCTATGCGGCAACGCCGGCCACCCGGCCAACTACAGGGGTTGCCCTAAGGCCCCCAAAACTTCGGCACCAAAGCTGATAAAGCGAGCCATAGCCCGCCAGACCAGGGAACGCCCCACGGTCACACTGGCCCCTCAGCGCCCCAGCCCATGGAACGCGCTCAACACTCAGCGGATTTTCCCGGCACTGAAGCCGACTCAGCAGCCATCTATCCCGGGGCTGATGGACCGCCCCATTCCTCCACCTCCAGGCTTCTCGGCACCAACGGTGGCACCGCCGCCCCCAGCGCGGCCTCCAACTTCGGCCCCCGCTCAGGGAGCAGACCTCGATCCATTCGAGATCATTTCGAGCACCTTCTGTGCTTTCTTCACACCGCGTGCCAAACAACTGGCAGCGGCAATCGTAGCCTGCAATGGCGACCACGCCAAAATTCGACAGGTGTACCACCAGTACCCTGATGTCCACGAGGCAATCAAATCCTTAGGTACCCGTAATGGATAATTTCTCAGCTAGACGTATAAAGCCGATGGCCCTTAGGTTAGGGTTCTTTAATGCCCAACCAAGGAAAACTGCCTTCTTTTATAGAGACCTTCAGCCAATCAGAGCGCTCGGAGTTTGCACACGGCACTATCCATTTGGCGGCAGCCAATCAGAGCGTTTTAGGTTTTTTACACTTAGAAACTGTCTAGTTTGTATGGGGAAATCTTATTTTTCAGTTTTCCGTATTTGGGCATCCTTTACAAGGTGATAAATATTATTTTAACATTAATAATAACTTATTCTAACATTTTACACTTAAAACTAACATAAAATAAACATTTTTCTGCTTTAAAATCGTAAAAAACTATTACATGTTCTCGCTACGGTAAAGCTTCGTGGTACTTAAGCTTTTGCGACCATCGTACAAGTGGCGCCCTCTGGCTGCGGTTATGTTACATGTAATTACAAATTCTTTTCTTTTAATTTATACAATATCACATTAATATTTTTCTATTAATAATTATATTCATAATATCTTACGTGAATTACTTACGTTAATTATTACTAATCATTTGATAATTTAACATTCATTTTCAACGCTTAAATTAATTATTTAAAGGCATCTTACTCAAATTTGGGGTCATCGCTAACAGCTGGAGTGAAGCAAAGACTTAGACTTATTAATTATTTCATAAGAATTCAACAAGATTTATGACTTTATGACAATAATCAAAATGCTTGATTTACATTAAATCTTGTCGTACCTATTAATACTGAGATAAAAAATCCTTAAGAATGTAGTGTGTCCGGCCTTTTTAGCTAAATGTCCGGCTAAACGGGCTGGTCTGTCCGGCTATAAGGCCTAACGACCTGGCAACCCTATCTACGAGTAAAGAAAGGGAAAGAAAATATGACATCGTATAGTGGAATGCCTTTGCTAGAGGGATATAAATATACATCTTCAGTTATGCCGACGGCACGTGACTATACCTTCATGCGCCGGCCGCCATAAGATGGCGGGCGCCGGCGTCGAAAAAAATAAAATAAAAATAGGTTGTTTGGTGAACTTACGCATGAAATGACACATTTTTTTTTTGTCTTTAACTTTTGAAGTATAATTTGTACATCGTCTGAACACACACGACGACATGCTTTCTTTGTGTTTCGCACAGGTTTACACACGAAATAAATTAAAAACAAACGTAGCGTCGCGCGGCAGGTTGGTGCGTAACTAAGCGCGATGTTGTCAATTGCCTTCATTTTATGTTGTCATTTTAGAGCGCGGACAACGTATCTATAGTTTTATACATCATTGACTAGATACAATAGATATAGATTGTACAGTTAATGAAAGTTCAGGTTCTGTTATGGAAAAATTACATTAAAATATCACAGAAACTTAGCCTTGATACTCCTACGTTATCAGTCATGGTTAAAACTAAATTATGAACATTGAAAGATTGTATGAAAGTCTGTGCGGCGTAAAAAAATGTTGGAGTTATTATTATTTATCTGAGGTAGAGAAGTAACTGTTTGTACATCAAAACGGATAAAACCGATTTGAAACTATGTAGGTACATAAATATAATTCTGGTAAAATGTCAGGTTTTTGTTAGGACGTTAACCGATACCTTCTATTATTTACAAAAATTCGAATACAAATTCAAATTTATTATTTGGCGGGAAAATACATCCACGTTCTGTTTTTGTATACACGTACAGGTACTGTTTCAATAAATTGTAGGTACATTTTAATCCGAAAAACTCCTTTCTAAAATAGGAAAAAGTAAAATTATAAAACATACTTGTATTTTTAAACAAAACAAAATTTCTTTAAATCGAACTTTTTAATTTCCAACTAAAACGTGATGAAACATGTCGAAACAAGTTGCCGCCTTGTCAGATTTGTTTGAAAATAGAAAACATTCGAACATTTCTGCTTCTATTATTTTATTTTTACCATTTCCATAACTTTTATTGTACCTACCTACTCATGGAAAGTCCAGTTTGTTTATCGCAATATTTTGTAAATAAACAAAATGTTCGGTCATTTAATAATATATTAAAGTCAAATATTTTAAAAAACGAAAGTGTAGAAAGTTTCGCTGAATTTATTTTCGGAGATGATACTTCGGTAAGTGATTTGCCAACTGATTTTATGAATATATTATCAATAATTAAAATAAATCTAAGGAACAAATCGAAATTGGATTTCAAGGACTACTTTCCTGTTAATAATATTCCACAGTTATGTCCTGTAGACAAAGAGTATATTTTAACTAATTGTTGGAAAGCACTAAGTGAGATATTGCCAAGAAACTTTTATGGAAGTGATAAAAACAAAAGAGAATTCAAGGATTATCTTCGAACTGTGGTTTATAGCATGAAACGGCAGCATTTTATTTTCCAAAGACTTACGGTTGGTTGGGACTTGGATGTGTTACCTTGGAAAAATCTAATAACTATAAATGGAAATTTAATATTTCTCAAAATCTTATTTTGGCTGACAAAATATGTATTATCTCCAATGATCTGTCTTAATTTTTATGTTACAACATGCAAACTAGACACAAATGAAAACAAACTTAATTATTTTTGGAAAAGTCAATGGCAGTGCTTTTATGACAAACAAGTTTCTAAAATGGTATTTAGTAGGGTAATGAAGAAATGTGAAACATATTCACTGGGAAAAAAGTTGAAGAAAAACCACAACCTATCTGATAGACTAAGATTAAAAGTGGCGAAAAAAAGTATTCCAAAATTATATTTAACATTGAAGTCTAACAATGACTGCAGACCAATTGTTTGCTACAAAAATGAATCAGTCAGTCAAACAGAAAAATATAAAATTAAAGACAGATTAAAATTTTTGAGATTATTGACGGGTAAACCACTATTAAAACTAGAAAGTCAATACAAAACATTACATGCTAAATGGGTAGCTGCAAATAAACCTAAGCTTTATTTTATCAAGACAGATCTAAGTAATGCTTTTGGTTGCATAAACAGAGATAAATTAGCAAAAATACTGTCAGAGAAACATATTAATATCCAGAAAACTGAGAAATGTATGGTAATGAAGAAAAAAATTGCTCAACAGTATAGAGATCTAGTAACGGAGCTACGGAAACCAATTTTGATTTGTGCTGGATCCACAGTTTATGAATGGAAAGAAGGATTAGTTCAGGGATATAAATATTCTCCAGCACTCTCTGAACTATACTACTCATATCTTGATGAAATATATTTCTGTGATCATATGAAACTGAGAGATAATCAAGTTAAATTGTTTATTCGAGTGGTTGATGATTATTTGTACATTACAGATAATTTGGCAGATGCCACATCGTTTTTAAACGCATTATCAAATTATAGAAATGTAAATTATGAGAAGACTATAGTCAATTTTCCTCATGAGAATATAAAGCAAAGTGAGGATATATTTTTTCTTGGTTACTGTTACAATACCTCAACTATGCAAGTGAGCAGGGCTGATAACATATTTGCTGGACAAATGAGCTATAAAATTGCATTTACAAGTCGATTTTCTGAAATGCACAAGTTTATTGAAAGTAGAATTGGTCAATCAGGTATTCCAATTAACAGCCACATATTTAATTTGAACTATAATAATGAAGAACTCATATGGAGGCACATATACACCACGTTTTGCTTATCAGCTAATAAATTATGTACAATAATGGCAATACTATGCAATGAGCAAGAAATGAAGAAATTTTTATGGCTCTACAAAAAGAGGGTAGCTGTAAAATTAAGTAATTCCATGATAGAGGTGTTAATAAGGAATAAGCCTGCTGATTTTATTTTTATGTACTGCATTAACCATTTTAGATTTCTTGCATGGAAAGCTCTTTATTTATGTGCAAAACAAACTCCAAAATGTACAGGGTTGGTGCCTTTCATAAACGATGAATTGACAAAATCTAATTGCATATTTGGAAAATGGCGGGAACACGCGAGAAGGATTGATACAAATGGGGAATGTGAACGTAAATCGATAAGAGAGGTATGTCGAAGACCTGATTTGCGGAAGATTTTCCGCGATTTTGATGTATTACCTAAAGGGTTTGAATGTTATCATCATAAAAGATTGTTGTAATAAAATAAACATGTTTTGAGGTAAAAATATTTTATTTCATAAAAATACACGCTATTCACTTGGACGGTATAAAAATGATAATATCTAAATAATCTAGGCACACATTTGGACGGAAGTAAAGAAGTCGTAGCTGCAAAACACAAAAAAGCTTATCCTAAATCATAAGGTTGCTTCATTGTCTTCTTAGATTATAATATCATAGCTCAGATCTGTTAAGTCACTTAGGAATGTCTTAAAAACTATATTGCATACAACAAGGTATGTTTCAATAATAAAAATAATGTAAACTGATTAATAATATAAAATAAAGATTGTATAAAAACTCAATTGTACATCACTGTCTTTTGTTAGGTACATATACAGTCTATTATAATCATAAAAATAAATGCTACTAAATCTTTATCAGCTGTTAACTAGTCTCAGTTATTTAGATTTCAGACTACTATTTCTATAGTTTATATAATCATAAGGAGGTAAAACTATCTCAATAAGGCTAACAAAAATAGGGAAATTGCTAATAAATGTCCCATAACACCGTTACTGTATGCATGGGACAAGAAGTCTGGATCAGACGCTACATAGTATGAAGCTTGTGGAGCATCACAGGAGACAATACGGGCTGCTCTTATCAGTGCAGGACCAGCAACAATTTCAGCTGATCTCTTGTTGTGAGCCAAAGGCTTCAGTCGTACAGCCACGTCGCTGAATATTAGATCGGAGTAAGGCGGTTGAGAGTAGAACATGCTGAAACTGAAAAAAAAAAAGATTTTAGTTATAGTTTCTTTTTTTTAATAGCTGAGATAGTATTAAATTTTAAAAAAGTGCCCATGGTTGACTCGACCCAGGTGAACTATGTTAGTGGTCCAAGATCAAAAAGTAGTTTTTATCTTCACACAATATAAATAGTGTCAATAAAAATTGACGTTATTATATTTCTTTTTTCAAATTCATACAACAAAGGCTTGCAGTTTTTTCTATTGCAGTCTAGTTTAAGACCAATTAGGTATTATATTTCTATTTACCTGAATTCGTCAGTAGTTACAGCTCCATAGAATTGCTGTGCATACACCATCAAGTTCGAGTATGTGTCCAGTTCAGTATGGTTGGGTCTACCCATGAGAACGGAACCAGGCACCTTGCCCAAGTTACAGTGTTTGTATTCATGCATTTTTGCGCGAGTACCTGTAAAAACACAGAAAATAATAAGTAAAACAAATCTAATAGAGTACTTAGTCATTGTTTACTGGTAGATATCTTGACGCCACACTGTTTTCTCTTATGAGCTAGATAGTTAACTAAAGGTAGACAATCCTGATATAAGTTTTTTTAAAGAGATGCAAAGACTATTTTAATTTAGTTTATTAGCTAATATTGATTTAGGTAAATACTTGATTGAAAACATTTTACACACAATTTTTAAACAACTTTTAGATAAAAAAACATGCTAAGATGGTTTAGATTTAGTTAATTACCTAAACCGATAGATATACCTATGTCCACGGTCAATAACATTGATCCGAATTTAAAAATAGCTCTCGGAAATTTAGACAGACTTCAAAGAAAATTTGATAGGTACTGACCATCGGGACATAACAGCTGCAAATCGTCGGGTAGGAGATCTCTCGCCCACCATTCACGACGTCTTCCAGCAGACACTTCAGCCGGAGCCGAGTGTCGGACGAAGGCCACATCACCACCCCCTTCTACCATACAACGAACTGCGCCTACATGACCGAAGTAGTCTTCACTAGCGTCGCGACGGCAGCGTCTGGTCAATGAAAAGAAGAATAGATAAAACATATTTTTAGTGCCGATTTTGAATGCATAGTGAAAGGCGCTTAGATTGACAGATTTTTTTTATGGGATATGTCGGCGATCTGGCATAAGGATCGCTCGATGGTAAGTATTCGTAACACCAGAGGAGTTTATCCAGTGTATAAGTTCATTGCCGGTTTTTGGGGATTTCGGCTTCCGGTAACCTGCGCAGTGCCAAAGAGTCTAGTCGGACTAAGATATCAGAGCAGTCAACGATTGGTGAGGCTCATCGCTAAATGCGGTCGGTTGAAGTTAGCCTGAGTTAAAGTTGACCATTGACTGAGTAGAAAATGGTCAATACGCCAAAGTTCCTGATGTTCCTGAGTTCCTGAGTTGATGATTCAATTTTTTTTACCTTCGCCGTTCTCTTGCAAACTAAATGACTGAAACCGGGGTACCTAGTTAATTATAGAAATAGAAAATGATTTACCTGAAGGACGCGCCATGACAGAGATGGCATAGGTTGTCGTGTGGAACAGTTCCGGAGTCGACGTACTCCGCGCTGAGTGCCCCGGGCGCGCACGACTTCGTGAAGTACTCCGCCGCCGCGTGCGCACCGTCGCACCCGTACGATCTGTGCAAGGAAACGTGTTTATTATTATTACGTCCATCATGTTTCACGCCGAAAAAAAATAATTTACAAGCTGTAGATTAAAAAGCTTTGAATCCGAGTATAAGCATCAACTGTTTTATTTGTTACGGTACTTTTCCAAAATATGTAAGAAAGAGAGGGAGGGGGCGGGGAGATTAGTTTTGAAAAATATAACACTACTTTTTACCCTAGTACTGCGAGAAAAATCGAAGGCAAAACCTGGTTATTGTTCTCGGGTGGTTGTAGATAAACAGTGATCTTACCGAATCCATCCGTTGGATATCAGGTAAGCAAGCGGGAACACCCATCCAGCGGCCGTACCGAGTCCAGTGTGGCAAGCATTCTTCCCGCGCAGGTACGTTAAATCTGTATCGGGATCTTGTTCTTTAGCTACTGCCACTGCGTAGTACCAGTTATCACCGCTTGAGTAGATCTTCAGTGACAAATAAGAAAGATAATGTTCATGTAGTTCTATGAAGAATATTAAATTACAAGTTAAAATAACACAGGATGGAAACCAGATAACGACATAATGGTTCCAAATAGTTCATCGGAAAATATACAAAAGATGAAATGAGCTCCTAGCGAATGTCGAAACTCGTCGAGTTACCTCGTCAAACAGTCAACAGAAGGGGCTGATGTTCAGCCGGGGCTGCGGGGTAAGCGCAATGAGGCACCGCGACCTCGGCCCAGAGCAGGAGAAGGAACGGGAGGGTTTTTAGTCAGTAAGAGTCTGACACTCCTTCCCACCCTACCCTGGGCGGGAGAAGTCATTTGATGATTTACCCTTCACAAAAAAACCTCGTCAAAAGGTAACGAGCGTTAGCTTTTAATTATTGATAGATAATTAATTTTCAATGCAGGTAAACCGTGTGTAGCTGTGTAGTTATCACTAACACGATCACACCGCATCCATGTAAGAATTAGCATTTAAACCGGCAATTTATGTGTTTTATTAAAGAGTACAATGTATATAACTTTGCGGTAACATACATATGTTATAAGCCGTGTTTTTAATGGAAAATAGGTATGTTAAGAAAAGATATTTATTCGGTGTATTTTTGCTTGTTTACGTTACCTCCTGCATAAAAGGCACAAGTCGATGCATGTTGGCGGCATGCAGCATGTCTGCCGAGTCAAAGAGGGCGAAGTCCGCGGCCCCCTCCGCGATGGCGCGCTCGCAGTGCCGGGTGCTGTGCCCCCGCCAGCAGACTAGCGTAGGAGACAGGAAAGCGGCTTTGAGAGCTACCTGTAGTTGCAAAAATTTGGATCTTGTTGGGTCTTGTTCAACAGAATAATACACAGGTAACTTTTAGAAGTAAATAAGTTTGCTATTGGGAAGACGAAAACGGACTTATGGTGAAACGTGTGGGAGAGTCAATTTTGGGCCAGTTCGAACGGCATAGTTGTATTTGGGGTAAGATGGCCTAATCCTTTCAGTCCCCAACCCCGAATCCCCGATTCACTATCTCCCCACAACCTCCAAAACGGCGGCATCGCGCCTGTAATTATTGTGGTGCGCATTGGCGCCGCCGTTTGCTTACCATCAGGTGATCCGTTGGCTCTTTTGATGATATTACTTATTACTCACCCTCATTTTAAGACATTTATCCATTTCCTGATCACTTGTGACACACAGCGTAGCTCTCTTTATAGGACAGTCTCGGATGGCTAACACTGCGTTCTCTGCCTGTCCCCCTACGAACTTGTTGTTGAGTATATGTTTAGCCGCCTGTTCCTCTTCTTTTAATACTCTGAAGTTCACCGTCGCGTCCTGTGGTACAGAGTACAAAAATATATCATCCATATCTATCTATCTTTATATATAAAAAATCATATCATTCCATCAATTTTGGTCTTGGCTAATTTTGGTGGAGTTATTCGTGGAAGCCCAGAAAAGATTAGGAGGAAGAAACAATTTAAAAAAATCTTGAAATAGTGTAAAGTCTACACCTACGCGGGCGAAGCCGCGGGCGACCGCTAGTATCTACATAAAAACGAATCACAAAAAAGTGTTAGTAAACGCATAACTCGACAACGGCCGGACCAATTATTTTTTGTTGTATGTTTGTTATAGTCAGGAGAAGGTTCTTATGAAAGATCATTTTTGGTGTTTATAAGTGCGAAGCAGGACCGCTAGTTCAATATAAAAAAAAAATTGTTTTGCGTTTGTTGGTCTGGACGAAGCGGGTGGTCACCCTCCCATCATCAGCCTATAAGTGCTCACTGCTGAGCAAAAGCCTCCTCTCACACGGGATGTTTTGCATTAATCATCACACTTGCTCAAGGCGGATTGGCGATTTTAAACATACAATTAGATATTATCTAATTGTATGTATTATCTAATCTAGGCTTCCTCATGATGTTTTCCTTCACCATATGTCAGTGGTGTCTAGATAATCTTAGAAAGTACATGTAACTCGGAAAAAGTCACATTGGTACTTGCCAGGTTCTGTACCTCATACAACATATCCTCATACAAGAAAAGCGGGCAGTTTAACCTCCGGACCACCACGAAGTTCCAGTAAAACACAATTAGACTTAGTAAATAAGCTAGCGCTAAGCAATTTCAAAAGACCTACTTACTATCACAGTGCAAAACATTTTTTTGTGGATTTATTACTTATTACCAAATACCATAGTTATTTCCCTAACTCCTTTTTTCTTTTTCTTATTTGCATAAGTAAAATTTTTAAGTTACCTGTAGCAATAAATCTGTAGTTTCATTGGATCTGAAGAGTTGGAATATCGATTCTATAGGTTGCCCTGATGAGTCCACACGGTTCTTGAATGGCGGCATAGTGCTTGCTCTAGGGTAAATAAAACATTGCAAAAATTAAAAGTGAACCAAACTAAATAAATTAACCTTTCGTCTCTAATATATGATCAGCCGGGGTTGCGGGGCAGCAGGAGAAGGAAAGGGGGTGTTTATTTGATGATTTCCCGCTTACAAAAAGGCTCAAGTAGACAAACATGTAACAAAATAGAAAATACATTATTTCTTACTTAGATTACATGGGAATTACTAGGGGTTAGAGACACTACAGCTGACACACGTAACTGTTTGAGCAGGTTTTTCGATTTGTTTCGAGCCACAACAGGAGCATGTGCGGTATCATCGCGTGGCTCGTCGAGCGCTCCATTTGAATGCAGTAACGCGATTAAGCCGTACTGTCTAATTTTTTTCAGAGAGTTAGTGTCAGATGTTTACTGACTTAATGATTTTAAGTCAATTCTACTCTACGTTCCTACTCCTGTTTCGGGCAGGGGCCGCTAACTTTACGATACACTTAATTTTCAACTTTTTCTACTTACCAAATATTCAAGAAAAACATTTCGATTAAAGTATTGAATTTCACTAGTAAGAAATTTTGACAAATTTTATACTCGACAAAGTGCAGTTAATATTTTACTCATTTTTAAACATTCGCGTTTAAAGTTAACAACATATTATTAACGCGAAAATAAATTATTTAAATACTTTGGAAGGCTTGACGTTTCGACCTAGTTGCACTGGTCGTGGTCGCAAGCAGACTCGAGTCTTTTCGCGTTAATACCCACTGAATATTATGTTGTTAGCAGTTTTTATTACTTACTTATTATTCATATCTTCTTCATATTCATTCTGTCTGTTATTAAAGTTGTTGTTAAATCTGTTATCTCTGTTGAAGGTCTCGTATGGGTACCGCGAAGACTCGGTAGATGAGTATGGGTTGTAACCACCAGGTTGGACCCCGTTCGTTATATTGTTGTAGATCTTATTCAGAGGGTTCGGTTCTCCATACAGTTGGTATATCACTTGTAAGTAGTCTTGGTATCTGCAAGAAGACAAAAAAAAAACAATTATAACATGCACTTTGAGCTTTATTGCTTAGTTATTTAAATATAATTATTTAAAATGTGGAAGAGTCATGCTTCGGCACGAATCGGTCGGCTCGGCCGGAGTGATACCATGGTCTCACAGAAAACCGGCAACAACCACAGCGTTGTTTTGCCGTGTGAGTGAGGTTACCGGAGGCCTATATCTTAAAGATACTTACCCAATCCCTAATCCTCAAAATGTTGGTAACGCACTCGTAACTCCTCTGTTGTTGCGGGTGTCCATGGGCGGCGCTGATTGCTTACCATCAGGTAATCTAGTAAGTTGCAAAATATGATACATTGGAGTTGGTTCATATTATGCTGTTCTTTGTTTTCATTTTAGAGTTCCTTCTTTATAATTAGTTTCAAACAGGTGATTTCAAAGAGTACTAGGATAAAGAAAATAATTATACTAAACAATTTATTATATATTTTTTCTATCATGACTTCATGAGAGAGCGAGTTCGAAACCTGGTAAGTATCAATATGACTTTTTCTGTGTTATATGTATGTACTTTCTAAGATTATTTAGACACCACTGACATAAGGCGAAGGAAAACATATAACTTATAAGATTGAAATCGCAAATCAACATTGAGAAAGCGTGGTGATTAAAGTTTATCCTTCAATGTGTGAGAAGAGGCCTTTGCTTAGCAGTGGGACTTATAGGCTGATGATGATGAATGATTGTGTGCCATTATGAGCGACTCGGCTTACACTTTCGAGGCTAACGGGCATAAGGTACTTTATAATTAAAGTTTCAAAGTAAAGGAGATGGCTAAACGACTGCCCTAAGCACGAATAAGAATTTCACACTATACTTTAGCATTTAAATATTCATTCATAAATTATTCAGTATTTAATAATTGCCTAGAACTTTCGAGAAATGATAAACATTAAAAAGTTTTTTAATTGTTGTTATCCTTTGTTTTGGTTTGACATGACAAGATCAAGGAATTCCGCTATCTAGAGGCGAGACATAACGCATTTCAGAATGTCAAATCGAATGAATTGATCCAACATCGATATTTTACAACTGTTATCTAAATAATTTATATTTTTAAAACTACATAATTGTAATAAGATAAGTGTATTTCTAACACGTTGGACGCATAATATAAATGTAATAAACATTTTTTGTGCTTGCCTAGGTCAACAACACATTTTATCGATTAGTTTAACGATTAACAAAATCGATTATTTTAAGCCCGATCCATCTCTACTTTATGGATAAAAAACAGACGTCGTTTCGGTACTTTCGGTCGATTGTTTGTTGTGGTGTTTGGATTTTCACTTTATCCCTCGCTTGTTTATTGGATCGACACGGACTTGAATTGCAATTATGCGGTGCATGAATTGCGATGTAGCCACGCAAAGACTGCGGCGGCATTTCGCCTCTGCCTGCACTTTTACTCAGTAATCTAGCACGATGGTTAACAATTGAGGTAAGTCATCTGCAACTTGAATAATTATTTAGCTAATCAATCTAAAACACCATGAGCATACGTTATTTTCAAGTTGGTTCTCAATATACATAACTTACCCACAGAAAAATAAGATTTCTTGCAATGTTACGACTAAAACAGACAAGCAATCTTAGATGTTATTTTATTCAATCAAAGCTTTAGGTAGGTATTCATAACTAATGTATTATGGTACTTATTACACTTTGTTTTTTTTTAGATTCCTAGGGATGCCAACATTTGACAATTTTGGTACTGAATGCAAGCAAATGATGATCAGGTTCAGGTCAGGTCAGAGTTTATTTGGCCTTACAATGATGTGCATTACTTGTGGTTGTTCTATGAAGTTTATAATGTCATGCAGTGGAAAGAACCAATTTGATGATGCAGGATTTACCTATGTCACATTCAGTTTTCCATCAGGTAATGAATATTAAAACAATAAATTGTTTAATTAAGGTATTCATTTATAGCAGGTACTCTCCGCAGTTACAGTCAAAACTTAGTCTTTATTAAATCTATATATTATCTCCTATACTGCTATAAATCTACTGCACTGATACTATAAAGCTGAAGTCTGTTTGTTCAGTTCTACTGGTCCGATTTAAAAAAATCTTTTACTGTTATATTTACTGACGAATTTAGGCTATTATGTATAATGATGCAGGCGAAACCACAGGTTACAGCTAGTTATAATACATATATCTTATATAAACAAAAATAACATAAAACACTAAACTAACACTAAAAACTAATTATACAGTTTCACAGTCATATAATCATTTCTTTTTCATAGCAAAGACAACATGCAAGAAATATAAATTAACTTTTTTTAGGCTCTTAACTCTGTGTGTCATCCTTGTTGGATAATGCATCAAAGGCAGTCAAACCGGGATGAATCGATCAACCGTGCCTGGACCTGAACTTGTACCACAAGTTAAACGAGAACCTGGGCCACTAGCTGGATCTGAACCTGAAACAGCACCGGGACTTGTTCTAGAGTCAGAAATAAACCTGCCAAACTATGAACTGTCTGCAAATACTTTAAGTCACTGTGTGCTTAATGGTTGTATTAATGAACAAAAGCTTCATGTTGTTCCAGCATTAAAAAAAAATGCTCGTTGGAACATAATATAATTTTTATATTCCCCGCAGTACAAGAGTGTGTGATGTACATTCAACTTGAATAAATAAATAGAAAAATCACTTTTTTGTTTTACTTTATATTTATTGTTTTTTCCTTGCTTATTTAGTGTGTATAAATAAATAAATACACAAATCACTTTTTTGTTGTATTACTTTATATTTTTTTGTCCTTGGTTACTCAGTGTGTCTATGAAGTAGATTAGGGCATATCTGTTTACTTACCTGGCTCAACACAGAAATTACAAATATTTAGGTCTATGAATCTATAGCTGCCCCAAGGATCGAGGTGGAAGCTAACAAGGTTTGCAACCGCAACAAACACCATGTTGATGATGACTCATCATCAACATAATGTTGTCAAGCTTTCATCATTGATGAGCTAAGTTAATTAATATCTAAGATTTTTATATCAAATATATTCATCATTTTATCCAAAAATAATATTAACATTGTCTCATTTGGGTAAGTGGATTTTATAACACAAAAAATGTATTTTTGTGATTTTTATGGAGCGTTTAACCCTAAGTAGATATTTATTTCAAGTAATTTAGTATGAAATCGCAGCGTAAAAACCATTATCGCTTAAAATCATCGTAGACATACTAAAACGCCTACATAAAAGTTCATATCAAATGTCATCGTTCGAAGTTTTTGTTTCTTTGTCGTAGGCGTTACGCGATTTTGTTTTCAGGATTGTGCAGATCTGAAAAGTTCCTGAAGTTTTATAATTACAAAATATTAATTTTCAGCTATTCAAGATTATATATTGCTAGGAGCCATGTTTATTCTTGCATTTTCATTGCCAGGGCAGTCGTCCATACTTCAATTTAGCCATGTCCTTTAAGTGTTAAAGGTTGACTGCTAGATAATGATATATGGAATTTAGTTCGCCTTTTCTACCAACTTTATTTTATTGTGTACATATATAAAAAAAGCATAAATAAATAAATAAAATTGTGAAAGGAATAACGATATCTTACTTTTTCCTCTGTTCCATGGACACAGCACTGCTGGTGACGATTGCGTCAGCCGGGACTCGACCCCAGTTGCAGTTCTCTGAATCCGTGACAGGGCGTCGTGAACCGTCGCGACAGATTATCTCGAATTGATCCTCCGTTACACCACCTGACAATTTTTATTATATTTACTTTTTTTTATTAAATTTTATTAAAAATATTTATTTTTCGCGTTAATACCAGTGTAATTATATGTTGTAATTATGAAAAACAAAAATTTTCATGTTAGTATTTTTATTATATTTTTACAACTATACATATGACACACTTCCTACCTAATATCACGGAATGGAATAAACTCCCAGAAAATGTGATAAAAGCACCCACAGTTAATTCTTTTAAAAACAGACTTGACAAACTCTCCAAATCCATTAATACGCACGCATCAGCTTTCTAAGCTGCTAGTGTGTTCAAGTATATAATAATAATAATATGAGAAAGTGTAAAGTTTATTTTATATATGGATGTAGTATGTACAAGTACTTTGAAATATAAGAAAAACAAAATCATTTTTCAACACTCTTCCTAATAAAGTGGCTCTTATCCCACGGCAATTAGGCACATAATGACATCTTAAATCAAACTGTGACTTTTTCATTACTATTATTCACGAGTGAGTAATGGAGTTTTTTTAAACATTATTATTAGACTAGCTGATGTCGAGCGGTTTCACTCACTCCTCGGCTCCTACAGATCGTAACGTGATGTTTCATAGCTTTAAATCTTCTTCGATAATTGTACTAACAAACAATTAAAGAATTATTCAATTCGAACCGAAGAAACTCTTGGAAACAATTTTTATGATATTTAATTTTTTTTTATCAAGTTTTATTAAAAATATTATATATTTTTCGCGTTACTACCAGCGTAATTATATTTCATGTATTCATATACACCGTGACTTTTTAGTCTTACAAAAGTTGTCTACTTAATGTATCCGACAAAAAATACCTCTAGGCGAGATTTTTTTTTTATCATTCATTAAGATAATAGGTATAAGAAATATTAATAAAACATTAGTACTCTACAATTTGTTAGTACAACTGTAAACATTTTTAACAGGTATACCTACCCAGCGCACGAATCGAGTAGATCACTCCATGTCAATTTTCTACGAGACAAAATATCGCAAACCAATCTAGCATAGTCCACGTGGACTTTTGTCCAATCAGATTGTCTAACGCTAGCCTGAGACAACGTCGCGGCGTCGGCGCACGCGATGCCTCGCCCCTTTCACTTGAAATTAGGTGAAGGTCACTCTTACTGTAGCTTAGGCTCGGACCGCGCTTGCTACAGAGTGTCTCTAAAACTACGCCGTGCGTCATAATAATGAATAACATTTTTATTTTATTTAAATCTCATTATTATTTATTAAGAACGTTTACTAGTCATTGGATACATGAACTGGGCTACCTTTGTAAGACGACTAAAAAGTCACAGTGTATACATATTACTTACCAAGTATTTGATGTGAAAGCAAAGCGTGTTGTACAGTGGTATCCCGAACGAAGGCGATATCTCCTGAGTTATTGGCAATGAGACAGCGTAACGCGCCTTCGTAACCAGCGTAAGGATCTGCTAAAGTACACCGAATGCCGGCCCCACCCGCACACAGCTTGCATAATCTGGTGTAGACAAAAATGTGCTTTATTCTAAGCAGTGTAGGCGTATTTTAGAATACGTTAAAATGTTATTAGCCAGTTTACTTGATAATTAACTTTGTAGTAAAAGAAATAGAGCTTAATTTTCAAGAAATGGGTTTTCCAATAAGGTTCATTTTCCAGAGACAGTAAAAAATTAGTCTATAACAGCAATTTACTTGAGAGAGACAAAGAAAACCCGATAGTGACACAAACTTTGGGCGTGAAACAACCACAGCGTTGTGTTTCGCCATGTGAGTGAGGTTACCGGAAGCCCAATATCTCTGCCCCCATCCCTTCCGAATCCTTAAATATCCGAAACCTTTATCCCTAATACGGCAACGCTCTCGTAAATCCTTTGGTGTTGCGGGTGTCCATGAGTGGCGTTGATTGCTTACCATCAGCTAATCCGTCTGCTCGATAGCCGACCTATACCATGAAAAAAAAACTAAATTGTAATTTTACCGATTTTCGTTTTTTTCATTCGTTACTTACTTGTCAGAGTTATCTCCGATGGGATTGTACATGTCTTTCAATGAGTTAGGTGCGCAGGAGTCACCAAAGAACTCTATGGCTGACTTTACGTGATTGTTGCAGTCTGTTATTTTTAAACCTCCTTCTTGCATTAACTGAAAAAAAAAAGATTTATACATGTAGATAGGGTTAAATATACTATTGTCATCACTCATATTGTTTCTAAATGTAATGCAGTAAAATTAGCTTGTAAAAAATAAGTTGCGGTATACGGGATGTCGATGAAATTAGGATGGACGACAGTGGAATTTTTTGTCGAACTAGAGACTAAGAAAAGGGTTGATTAGTGATTGGTACTCAATAAACGGATGCTTTTCTTTCTTTTCCTTTTCATCCTACTTACATACATATAATATGGTAGTATCCAACTAGTAAAATTCAATACTTTTATCCAGATGTCAAAAACGGTAAGTACATTTCTATGAAACGCTGATAGTCATAGTATTATAGCGTCAAATAGCTAACTTATTTCTTAAACATTAGTTAATAAATAACAAAAATTGAGTGTACCGACAGATCCATGAATAAAAGTATAGCTATTTTATTATATTTTATTGTATTGAAATGTCGAATTAATTTATTTTTGAACCAGAAAACTATCCAAATATTATGTAGGTACTTCCTGTATTGTTATGCTGGGGGTAGTATATCTACCCCATCCTACTCAATTTGGTTCTATTATGTAGAAAGATAGGAATAAAATTATATTGCATTATATAATATTTACCACATCAACTTACAACATGAATGGGCATGACCCAGCCGGCAAGAGCTCCAACGCCAGGGAAACAGGCTTTTGCGCCTCGAAGTCCGGACAATCCATAGCCAGGCTGGATTGATGGCAAAGCACCCTTGCGAACCACTGCTATCGAATATTGGTAGGGCTTGCTTGCACCATATAACTATTGAAGAAAGAAATCATTATGTGTTACTGTTATAAGATATAATGGATCTTCATTTATTTGTTTATTTAAAAATGGAAATAAAATAATGTACAAAAAGTATTCAAACCAATCTTTTTAGATTTCATATTACTTTACACGACAATTAATCATTCATTAAGAGAATCTCTTTTTTAGAGACAAAATGTTCTTAATCTAGTCCTATATATTAACACCATTCTAACGTTACTGAGTCTAGCCCTCTTAATTTGTTGGTGGGTGTGGAGGAGGCCAATGGAAAGACTTAATGTAAAGCAAATTTACTTTTAGGGAATACAATAATACTATTAAAGTTTGAATTTTATGTTATAACTTAAATTGTGAAGGACAAAACCTTTGTAGTCTTACCTCTTGTAGAATGGGTACTAGGGAGTGGTACCGGCCAGCAACATATACTTCTCCTGCATCTAAACCAAGCAAGGAGGCTTCACCACGGTCCACCCATGACATGCATTCCTCTGTATCAAATGCCTATAAAAAATAATTACAGGAACATTTAATTTTGTATAGTAATATTTATAAAGCAAAAAGGGTAAAGATTATTTATTTATTTACACAAATAAAAATATTTTTGTTATAACTTTCGTGAGACATTCTAAATTAATTTTTATGTTTTCGGCTTACTCACATAATAATTTGACGAGATACTCGACTAGTGCTGCACATGAATATGGCCCGCTTGAAACTAGTCAAGTATCTCTGAATAGCTCACACTATAAATACAATAGACCTTAAGTCATTTTCATACTAATTTTCTTTTGTTTTCATAAAATTGGAGCTGTTTAACTGTGCACAGTTATAATATTGGACCTGAGGTTTCTACAATGCTTAACATGATAATATTATGTTATGCTTAATCTGCTGTCTGTTTCTATACATACTAAATAAAATAAAATAGTCTCTTTAATGTTAAATCTATTCATATTTGGTAATTATAATAATGAACTCAGTTAAAATCAATTTATCACTACACACTATAAAACAATGTTCCTTTTTTTTTCCTTTATCCCTATGTATGCTTAAATCTTCGAAACTACACAATGGATTTTGATGCAGTTTTTTTAAATAGGTAAAATGATTAAAGAGGAACGTTTATATGTACAATAACATTCATTTAATAGAGGGGAAATTTAGTACCAGCATTGCAACAGTGCAAAGTCGGGATAGGTTGCTAATTTTCCAAAAGCTACTTACTCTTTTACACTTCAATTCAATAAAATCCTTTCCAAACAGCCCCTTATCTTGTAAAACTGATTGGGCCAGTTTCTCACATTTCTGGTTCTCCAGCAGAGATGTGGTACACCAAGTGATGATGTCCTGTCCTTCTATTTTAGGCACTTTGTTAATGCCATTGATTGCATTTTCACTGCCATAAATGCTAGCACTTGTTGTACCTGGAATGTTTTGGTAAATTTTAAAGTGTTACACTAGAACAGGTCATACATAACTGATGAAAAACAGGAGTTGCATAGTAAATAATGTGTGCATCTAGAGTTGCCAGGCGACCAGTAGAAGCCCTTTATAGGCTTTTTGAATTGTGATTGATGATGGTAAATTTATGGCACCAGACCGGCTTTAAGTTTTCTACCTTTGCACAAATGAAACTCACTAAGCCATTTTGTTTTAATAAACAAAACACTTACATTAGTTTCAACATAAGAAAAATAGCCTAAACTAAACTTGCATATCAGCTCAGTAATCTGCAAAATATGGGTATGAATAACCTTCAGGTGTGGTATTTCGTTTTAGTGTTTTGATTCAGAATTCCCAATAACTGAGTAATGGAATACTTTATTTTAATATCGATTCTGGACTTTTTGTTTTAATTTGTTAGTTATTTTATTTTGTTTCCTGGTCTTCCAAGTGGCGTGATGAATGAAGCACACATAATCCTTGTAATATCCTGTAGTATCTGTTACATATAATGTTTTTTTTCTTAATTCTTACCAAGCAAAGATGGTATTTCATTGTTTCTGGCTAAAGTTTGACAATATGGATAGAAATGTGATGTTCTTGCTTTTTTATATAAAATCTTCAATGGATTATCAATTGTTACAATACAGATACCATCTACATAATGCAGCTAACTATTATTCCATGAAAATCTTATATACACTTTCATTTATAAACAATTTTAAGTAAATAAATAGTTGCCGAAACTTTGCCATAAGTTTGTTAATCATTAACTTACCAATAAGAATGGAAGAAAGTGTTACGACAAGGTAAGTATCCATTTTTCTTGTATTTCACAAAATTTCATTTAAGAATACATCGGCTCATATTGTTTCACGTTAAAATTAATAATTTTTGGACACGCCCCAGCGGTAAACAGTTGATTTGAGTTTGATTGTTGTTTTTTTTTAATAATTACGATGATGCTAATTTATTTGAACACTAGGATTTTTAGCTACCTATCAAGAACAACTGGATTATGTTTTATATAGGTATAAACTGAGTGTATTGATTACTCGTAATCTTGGAATAGTTGTACTTATTAAACTATAAAATTTAATTTCATGCAAGACACATAACGACGCATAACACAACACACTTCGTGGAACAAGTGCTATTTATACGTCTCACAAGAAGTACCAACTTTGACAATCATTGATTGTTGACAGTTGGACATTTAGTAGTTTGACAATTTCAATTTAGAGAAGTTTCACGAAATCGTATCAAATTTTTAATTTTCCTCAAATACCTACTATAACATCTAAAAGTACGACACTTGAATAATTCAATTTATTTTTATATTCATAGGCTTTTAGAATCCTGCGTAGTTTATGTTAGTAACCCATAATTATTTTTAATTTCAGGTTATAATTATTTGTATTCAAAACAATAAGTTGGAAAAGCACGTGTTTTAATTTATTGCGATGGTTGTATTCACGTGTGGTCATTGCGGCGAATCTGTGCAGAAACCTAAAGTTGAGAAACATTATATGACAATATGCAGGAATAGGAATCCCAACTTGTCTTGCATGGACTGTTTCAAAGACTTTCTGTAAGTATTAAAACCTACATGTTGATTTTGTTTATGCGACCGCTTTCAGTATGTAAACATAACGTTTCCGTCTAGCTTCATTGTGGCATCCGTATGAGTTTATAAATAGAATAATATGTCAATGAGAACAGTTCATGCCAGATAGGAAACAAATAAGAATGTAATAAGATTTTTTTGTTGATAAGGTATTCTACATTTAATTTTCTCCTACTGTTTTCTTTTCTAGAAGTTATATGTTTCGATAATGCTTATCAATCTAATTATGCCTTGACATTATTTTGATAATTGGCAATAACAACTGTTTCTTTTGTAAACTATGCCTCCTTTGGCAATGTGACAAATTACAAGTCAATGAAACCATTTCAAATATTTTTGGGGCTTGTGTACTAAACTACTTGCTTAATCTAAATTCGAATCTATTTAAAATTCTTATAAGAAAAACTTTATTCTTATTTATAAAAATAATTAATATTTCAGGGGCCAGGATTATGAGTCTCACATAAAATGTATCACAGAAGAGGAACGCTATTCTGGAAAAGGATTTGTTTCTAAAGAAAAAAAGGGGGAGAAGAAGCAAAATGCATGGGTAGAAATGTTACAATCTGTATTAGATGAACAAAAAAGTGCACCAAGAAATGTACTAAGGATTATCGAAACCATCAGCAAACACAATAACACACCTCGCAAGAAACCCAAGTTTATCAACTTTGTAAAGAATGTTTGTGGGCAAAAAACAAACCCTAAGGACATTGACCAAGCCTGGGACTTAATATCTGTAAAATTAACTGCTTTATCTAATGCTAATAATAGAAATCAAAATCAAAAGAAAGATGCAAATGAAGAAGAGAAACTACAAAGTTCTACAGTTGAGGAAACTGATGAGAAATCTGAAGAGAATGACTTAGAAAATGACAAAGTTGAACCAAATGGAGTAGGAGAAAATGGTGCAGTGGAACAAAATGGTGAAGCTGTACAGAATGAGGAACAGGAAGAAGGTAACAAAAAGAAATCTAAAAAGCAAAAAAAAGAAGAGAAGAAGCATAAAAAATATGAAGCTGAACTGCAGAGTGCTGCAGCCCCACCACAAGAAGTAGAAGAAGAAGAAACTGAAACTAAGAAAGGTAAAAAGAAGAAGAACAGAACTGAATCAGTCAATGGGGATGAAAATGTTCAAGTTGAAGGTAAAAATGGCAAAAACAAAAAACGCAAGAGACAAGATACTGTAAATAGTGTTAATGGAGCACAAGAAGTTGCAGAAAATGGAATGGAGCAAGGAGAAGCAGCAGTTGCTACTGGAAAAACACAAAAGAAGAAGAGCAAGACTGCACAGGAAGAAGAAGAAGAAGCAGAAGAGAGTATGTGTTTGCATGACCAGAATGTTGCCAAAATAGGAGAATTAGCTGTTAGTGATAAATTTAATTGGCATGCTGTTATAATATCTGTATTGCAAAAGAAAGGCAATGAATTACCATTCAAAAGATTGCAAAAGAAGGTTTTAGGGGAATATAGTGAAGCAACTGGCAGAGAAGTTGATGACCGAATTGCTGATAAGTTTATTAAGAAATTGAAAAGTGCTCCTAATGTGAGAGTTGACAAGAACAGAGTGCTTCTAATTGACTAAAAGTTGTTATACAATATTGTGTTGTCTTTATATACTGCCACACTTTGGAAGAAACTTGATGATTTGTTATTGTTATGACTGTATGAGGTTGAGATATTACTGAGTATTTACTACTATATTGACAGGTTTGACATTGCATAATATTGCAGCTATTTATATGCCATTGTAAAAGTGAAGCTGTTTCATAATATTAATTGGTTCTGCGATATTAGGTTTAATGCATTTGATGTTTGATAAATATGACCCAAGATTTTAGCTGCCAAAGTGTGGAGCCAAATTGATATAATAGATATAATACAATTAAATAATAGTTTTTGAAGCAACTTGTTCATGTACCACTGATGTAGTTCCCATATTCTCTGTATATGGCAATAATAACGATGTTCTTAACATAAAAAATGTTTTTTATTTCCTAGATTTTTTCATTAGTTTTCGAAAAAAAAACCGCGAGTTTTATTCTCATATATGGCATTTCTACTCTATGATCTGATGCAATTAAATGTAGGTTCAATTTCTACACTGTATACCTAGTTACTGTAGTTGATCGAGTTGATGTTATGTCTATCTGAAAGTGTTAATCGGTGAATGAAATGGATTCTTGACGCGAGAAAATCACAGTGAAGCAATATTTAAATGCAGGTAACGCTAAAAAGTGACGTCGATGTGGTCCCCCCAGACTTTATGTGATAGATCGGCAAACGAGCAGACGGATTACTTGATGGTAAGCAACAACAGAGGATTGCATTGCCTACCTCTTGGGGATTAGGGATTGGGCATCCGGTAAACTAGCCCACACCGCGAAATACAACGTTGTGTTGGTTGTTTCACGCCAGTTTTTGTGAGGCCATGGTATCAATCTGGTCGAGCTGATCCATTCGTGCCAAAACATCGCTCTCCCACACTTGCTAACACATTCAGTGCCACCGACTCGCCTAGAGAGTCCACGTACTTATATTTTAATCCAGCGTCGTGGACTCGCCTGACGAGTTCAACGTAAAATGTAAGTACGAGAGATTGGCAGTATTCGAGATATTATTGTGAAAATCGTAGTGGTAATGAAAGTGTTCACTTAGTCCACCGCAGGGTTCCGTCTACCGCGCTGAAGGACGAGTGATCTTTGAAGTTTTTATAAGAGCACGTATTAAAAAAATCCAAATCTCAACCCAACAGGGTGAAACAACTTCACGCCGGACATTTTAATCTCCGAAGCATAATCATAGACAGAGGTGGATACAATATAACTAAGTAAAATACGAAACCCTATTTTAACCAGTTTTGTAACTGAAATAACAGACTAATGAAGCAAAAAAAGGGTGGAAACTGAAAAGACTTTTTAGAGGAAACATCAATAAGTAGCTAACCTACAGCCTTACCAGTACATACACAAAATAGACACCTCTTCAAAGAAACTCCTTGGGGGAACACGGTGGCATTATCCAGATCATTAATCATTGTTATTCATTGCCCGCTAACATTATTTCGATGTTCTACATTCTTATAAAGAGTTTTTGTTAAGGCGCACGGTTTCAAGTGCTTAATATTGGAATTCTTTGTCAACACTTTCGATTAAACGGCCTTAGGCTGTATAAGTATTAAAAATGTTTTTCTATTTTTTTTTTAATTTTCCATTTACATGGCGTAAGACGTCTGGAAGTTCTTTTGATTTAAGTAAGTAGTATTGATCTTTGCTTTGCCGTTGTTTTTAGATTTGTTTGAGGTTAAAAACTTACTCAGTACTATTATCTATCTATTCATATCAAGTGAGTGTATAGGTACATAATTATGTACCTATATTATGTGTACCTATTCGTTAAAAATATTTTCTCGCTTCGCATAGGTGACTATATCTGACATCTACAATCACGCTTAGGTAGGGTTGCCTTCTTTGGGGTTCCTGTCTCCCACCTAAGCGAGAAATATTAGCCAAATCTCACTTCAGTAGAAATCGTTAATTACTCATAAAGTATTAATGATGTATAAAACTTAAATAAATGACTTAAAATAGTATTTAGATATAAAGCTTTCTACGTATACTATATGGTACGTTTACACGCTTGCCAAAACTTGACAAACGTCCACAAGCTTCAAGCCTTTACCTACCCAACGCCAACGTGTACTTAAATACGCCGCAAACGCTTGTCACAATTTCCTTTGATCAGTTCAAAAACCGACGCCGGACCAGATCGCCGACAAGCTCTTGCAAGCTCACGAGAGCCACGCCAAATACTCTGTTCACACGCATGTGTTTGTGGACGTTTGCCAAGTCTCGGCAAGCGTGTAAACGTACCATTCAAAGTTTTATACGATCGGGAGTCTACTAGCAACATTTTGATGACGTAAAATGTATGAGGGTGAGGGTACTAGCTCAGATAATTACCTACCTACATACTTATTTTTGGGCTTATTATAACGTGTCGGAATGAGAATTGTCATAAAAGGCCCTAAGTAAGTACGTACCTACCACCTACCTCCTCATTTAAATAAAGTTAGGGCTGGTGGACACATAAAATTCGAGCGTAGGTAGCTATAATAAAAATTTCGGAAGGTGTCTGTTTCGTATTCAACGAGAGGAAAAGCTCAAACGTCATCACTGCGAGGACCACCCGGAAGATATGGTGGAGAATACAGTAACGGAGTGCTCCGCTTGAGCTCAGTTCAAGTCTTCTGGGACACGATAGGCGGCGACGGCCTTACGCTAAGCTTTGGTTCAGGTTATGTCTGCAGCTGAAGGGCGAGGTAGACTGGGTGCTGTTTCCACCTACCAAAGATAGACCCTGAGTGTTCGGCGAATCACATTACGAGCGCGCTTCAAAGAGCCCCGTCCAACTCACTCCCTCCCGCCCAAACCTGGGCGGGAAAAGTTATTTGATGATTTTCCCTTCAAAAGATGGATGGAAAGAGGTTCAACGCCTGGCTGGGGTTTCAGATGAATAAATTACCGTGACTTCGGCTCAGAGTATTCGGTTAGAAGGAATTTTTGTTCAGTAAGAATTGGAAGCTTCCTGTGTGTACACCTCATGTGGTAGCAGTAAGTAATTTGATGATCTTGCTCCCTCTAAAAAGGCCTAAGTCTAAACGAGAATAAGTTTATTATTTAACGACTAGTAATGTGTTGAGGTAATAAATACACTCGAAAGCATAAAATCTGTTTAACAATTAACAACCACTTTCTCTAAATTATTTCTAACACAAATGTGTTAACGAATCTCCGTATACCCCTCTATAAATATCGTTGTCGGTAATATTTCACGAACCTTCATTGTTCTGTTAATCTATTATTACTGAGCAGTCGTACTTCCAATTACGGACGTTCTTCATTCCCTGTCTGTCTACATGCAGAAATCGATTTAAAATTCAATAAAATTTCCATAAACACAATGTGGTCGTCGAGATCTTTCAAATGCTCTTTCGATCCGATAATTCCGTTGCATTTTCAAATAAAAAAGCCATATTGGATGTTCGCTACATTTTGCTACGTTGCAAATAGGAATAAAAATCGTATTACCTTTGCGTGCTATTCTTTTTATCTTAGCTCCATGCCGCTGTTCTGGCATATACTTAGTAGATATATGTTTTGTGTTTCTCTCTCATACTATGAGGTATTTTTGTCGTTCGGGTAACTTATTAAAGACTTGTCTAAGTGCATAAAAACCTATTAGTATTTCAAGAGGATGGACTAATTTCAAGACGAATACTTTATTGTGTAACTTCATGACGTATCTTCGTAAAAATGCTTATGTCTAGTTTTGTAATAAGTCTTTTTCAGTATCTAAGTAGGCACTGAGGCACAACTAACAACTTTGTATCGCTACGTTTGCGACGACAGCGACGTGACGAGGCTTGTCACGTCCGATTTTTCTCATAAATGTTTATTAATAAAAGCTAGTCATATATAACGTCTTGGGCATTCTTTTATAATAATTGTACATGTTGGTTTATCCTTGCCCATTATGTACATACCCCCTGCACTGGTGCTATACAAGAAACGGTCATAAACCAACATGTCGTGCATTTAATAGGTCGTTGTGCGACTGACGACGTAATATAGGCAAGTTTATTGTCATACCCGCTAATACAACGCTGTATTTGTTATTATTCAACGTTAAAACAACGCTTAAGCATTAAGTATGGCGAAGAAATGAGTTATTCAGTTGCCATTTTATGTTTATACACAGCGGGGTACCTATACCGTGTTTCGTTTATGAGCCCCCCGTTGGTAGGGGAATGGGTAATTTGCCAAGTCAATAATCTGCAGTCTGGTTATTTAGCTAGACTTTAATTTGTCTCATCATTTTCTATGTTGGCTTTTTACACAACTTTGTAATGCTTGAGTTTTTTAGAAAAGCTTTTTTAATTAAAGGTATACCATAAAAAAGATAAGGCATGAAATAATGTCGAGGCGTAGCGGACACTGAAAGAAAAGATGGATGTAAAGAGGGTACGATAACATGAAATAAAAGAGAGTGAATGATGAGATAATGCTTTATAGAAGAGAATAGAAGAAAAACATTTATCTTATTAAAAAACTAAAAATAGAAAACTAAAAATCAGAAAACATAGCTTTTGCTTTAACCTAAGCTAACAACGTGAAGCACACGTTTTAAAAATCCTTCGAAATGGTATTAAATTTGCTCGAATGCACTCGGGAAACGAGTTAATTTAGTTACCTCTCAAAAAAGTAGGTACGAACAAAAAATAAGCGCAGGCTTGCGTACGTAACGGCGTACCCCATTAAATCAATTACGCGGTTGATCTGCCCCATCGCACCAGAGCTCAAACGACAACGTTGCATGTTTACGTCGCAATTTTGAGGCGAGATTTTCTCCAATCTGTTGATTTTCCACATTTATTTTTTATGTGATAAGACGATAAAGGAGCAGACCGATTACCTGATGGTAAGCAATCAGTGCCGAAATGAACAACACCAGTTAATAGTGCGTTGCCAGCCTTTTGGGGATTAGACTTTCGGAAATTTAGGGATCGGGGAGGGGTCTAAGCAGGGTAATTTAAGTAAGGGGAATGTTAGCGTTTCGCTTCGTTGTTTATACCACGCACATCTAAGGAAATTTTTGGAAAAGCTTGCCTGCAACGGTCTTCCAGTCCAGTTTTGATTAAGGTGTCTTCAAGGTTACAGTGTGTGTTCTTAATACATATTATACTGATGCGCCTTACCATCAACGAGTGCATCACTGGTTACCACCCGGTAATTGGGTTTTCAGTAACCTCACACGCACAAAAGCTGTGATTGTTCCGGTTTTCTACGAGACCGTTGTTCTTCGATCGAGCCGATGCCATTCATAGTGAAACATAACTCTCCCTAACTTAACAACCACCTTAATTAAAAACTTGCTATTCCAACGAAATGAAAGTAGCTTTATAATTAAAAATAAACGGGGATTTAAATGGGCGTTTAATTTGGGTAAGAAAAGAACATTTTCTCATTTAAGATTACTGCGCTCAGAATGAATACACCAACAATAATATATCTGAGTCCGTTCAGTTCGGGATTAAGTCGAGCGTACAAGATAGATTGAAGCATCTAGCAAAACCAACAAAACGTGTAGTAGGTACGATTAATAACAAAGGTCAGGCTTACAGAAACTATTTCTATTTGTACTTGTAGCGAGTATGAGTACACAACCTCTTTGAATAGGACCTCTATGGCACATATGGCCGTTGGAGCTTTATTAGCTATTTACTTATGTATGATGCTCACAGCAAGCCGTCTGTTTCATGAAACCCAAGCCCCGACGTTTTGGTGTCCCTTGCCAAGGTTATTGAGATAAATTGACTGTTAAATTAACGTACCTACCCTTTGTGATAGTTACAGCTGGTTTGCTATCAAAATATTGTGTTTATAAGTTACACATTAAACTTTAATCAAATATTAGCACTGCCTAATTTGAATAAAAACAATGTTAATTGAATTTTTCTCTTTAAGTAAATCATTTTATAGCTGTAAAACAATGTTCACGGTTAGAGGTTTGTAATTTTATTATCATCTTGCTTCGTTACTTTCTATAAAATGAAAAAGTTTTTCTATTGTCGCCCACCGTGGGACTACGTTTAACGCCTAGTGACAACGTTAGAACTTCGTTCTATCTTATTTTACCTCGTTCGCATTAGTTTTTCTTATATTTTCTTTCTAGAAAAACACTTGATTTTTCTCGCCGATATTTTTACGATATTGGCACCCAACATGAGCCTTGATATTTAAGACAACCTAAAATAAATATTTTGAAGAATATACCTATAGTATTATGTATTTATTATAGTAAGTAATACTTTATGAAAAGGTCATTGACTTGTGGTACTGTGAATTCTTGGCGCCCAACATGGGACTAAGTGAGATCATTGTATTGTTTGTGATATATTAATGTTTAGTTTGAACTCCGTGTAAGAAGGTATTGTTATAACATAAAGAACACATACTTTTATATTATATACACCTACAACAGAAGAGGAAAACAAAAACTATTTGCCTATTTCTTAGTATATTTACTTGGATATTACGAGGCGAGACAGCGGAAAATCTTGAACAAGTATTGTTTATCAACCAAAACGATTTTGTCGAATAAATCCCTGGGCGCAGGTGGCGATAACTACTAAGTTATATCAATAAATTCACTTTCATGGCAGCAGCCACTTGATAACTTTGTTACTTATGTACATTGTACTCTATTGGTACTTATTGTGTAGTTATTATATTCTATATTGTTATTATTTTTATGGGGTAGGTCGGCAAACTATTAGACGTATTACCTGATGATAAGCAATCAGCGCCGCCCTGGAACACTAAAGGAGTTTACGAGTGTATTGCCGGCGGCTTAGGGATAAGAGTTTAAGGATTATGAAGGGATGTGGAGAGGGGAAGGACTGGATCTCCGTTAACCTCACTCGATGGTTATCTGGTGGTTACCCTCATCTTCACCTTCACCCTCACCTTCATCTTCACCTTCACCCTCACCCTCACCTTCACCTTCACCTTCACCTTCACCTTCACCTTCACCTTCACCTTCACCTTCACCTTCACCTTCACCTTCACCTTCACCTTCACCTTCACCTTCAACTTCAACTTCACCTCCGCTTTCTCTTTCTCTTTCTCTTTCTCTTTCTCTTTCTCTTTCTCTTTCTCTTTCTCTTTCTCTTTCTCTTTCTCTTTCTCTTTCTCTTTCTCTTTCTCTTTCTCTTTCTCTTTCTCTTTCTCTTTCTCTTTCTCTTTCTCTTTCTCTTTCTCTTTCTCTTCCTCTTTCTCTTTCTCTTTCTCTTTCTCTTTCTCTTTCTCTTTCTCTTTCTCTTTCTCTTTCTCTTTCTCTTTCTCTTTCTCTTTCTCTTTCTCTTTCTCTTTCTCTTTCTCTTTCTCTTTCTCTTTCTCTTTCTCAATCTCAATCTCCATCCCTACCTCTATCTCTATATTATATTATATATATATCACCTTCACCTTCACCTTCAGCTTCACCTTCACCTTCAGCTTCAGCTTCACCTTCACCTTCACCTTCACCTTCATCTTCATCTTCATCTTCGAGTTCAAATTTTGATTTTCAATTTCTTTATTTATACTCCTATCTCTATTAAATGTGAGTGCCTACTTATTTTAAATTTCGGAATCTGACACTTGTTTGAAATAAAATTAAGTTCATAAGCTGGATTGCAGATGAAAGCTTAATGATATATGCTCTCGGACTCGGAGCTGGGGTAGGAACGGCGTGGGTTTTAGTTTGTAAGAGGTTGACACATAAAATTTACTTCTACTTCACATAAATATTTAATAATGTAAATGTTGTGAAATGTATTTAACTAGTCCTAGTTTAGGTTCTTGATTTACACCTAAGCTTACTTTAAGACCAGCCGGGGTTACAAGTTAAGCTCAATAATGTACCGCGAAGTCAGCGGTCTTGAGCGAGGTGAAGGAAGGGGCTGAATATTAGTAAAAGCCTTACCCTGGTCAAGAAAAATATTTTGAGGATTTTTTCAACAAAGATAGTTAAGACTAAGTTTAAGACTTAATTATGTTTTATGGATTGGAAATAACTAAATAAAATAAATTTGATTGCATCTACAGGACGAAGTAAACAGAATACCTAAGTATGAGATTTAGTAAAAGTACGAGATAATTAAAACGGTGTGACAATTTGAGATCCAAAATCAATTTAAATCCCCTCTCTGTTTGCGACCACGATCTGTGCAACCAGGTCGAAATGACAAACCTTTCAAGGTACTTAAATAATTACTTTTCACGTTTATACCTGTTGTTTCTTTTTTATAATTGATCATTTAGAATCTTCACGGACTCGGGGTCCGTGCCCTTGTCAAACAATATGCAGTAAAAATTAATAAAATTACACATTTCAATAATACGGCTTTTACATTTTTTTTTTTTTTTTTTTTTTTTTTTTTTATTCGAAGGAAAGCTTACAGACTAATTACAATAATAATAACTTAATAAATTTCTAATTTGCTAACAACAAGCTTCCACCATTAAGTGACTACATAAAATAATATTATTATCATAGACTGACCCAAGAACCTCACTGGAACATACTAAAAAGGTAAACACAGATAATATCTCAAATATTACACAAATTAAATCTATATTAAACTAGTAATTATATTATAAACACATGACAAAAAAAAATATATAAATAAAGGAACTACTTTTGAACAAAGACTGCCCATCCCTTCGGAGAGCTCCAATGAGACTATACACAAAAACACTAAGTATAAATTAAAAGGATATGCAATCTTAAGCTAAGTATCATAATAAAGTTCGACATTTACATCCGGGAATCATCTTCAAAGAATTTATTTGCTAATAAGCGTTTCACTGTGATCGCTTTTGAACAAAAAAGATCTACATCTAAGTCTTCAGGAATATTATTGAATGCTCGTGCAGCACGCAAGAGAAAGGTATTTTTTCTATAATTGGTTGAACCAGAAGCAATCTGCATAAGTGGTCTATGCCTGAGCCCTAGAAGATTAGTACGTAAGTGTAACTTAGCCAATAGTTCTGGGCAATCGACCGACCCATTCGCAATATTAATGAAAAATGAAATGTCACTAATGTTACGTCTGTAGTGTAACGGTAGAAAGTGATATCTTTTACAACGGTGATCGTAATCATCTGAATACTGCCGTGCTTTGTAATCTAAGTATCTCAAGAATTTCTTTTGTACAGCTTCAATACGAGACTTATATATCTCGTACTGAGGATTCCAAACCTGTGACGCGTATTCCAAGTGACTACGTACGAAAGCACAATATAGAATTTTTATAGTTTTTAAGGAACGAAAATCAGCTGAAACTCTTATAATAAATCCTAACGCCCTTGATGCTCGATTTACAATGTAATCAATGTGTTGATCAAACAAAAGTTTATTGTCCATTTTTACTCCTAGATCTTTAATTGAAGTGACTTTATTGAGTATTTGATCGTTTAATTTATATTCAAAACTAACAATAGTTTTTTGTCGGGAGTATGTGATTTGGAAACATTTCGCAACATTTAACTGGAGTTTATTATACACACAATATTCTTCGAACCTATTTAGATCATTTTGAAGTTGCTCAGCATCTGATATGTTTTTAACAACTTTATGAATCTTCATATCATCTGCATAGAGTAGGATGTAGCTATGTCTGAAACACTTATGTATGTCAGAGATAAACAGTGTGAATAACAAAGGTCCCAAGATTGAGCCTTGAGGTACTCCAGAAGGAACGTAATTCCAGCCAGATACGTACCCTTTTAGTACTACTGCCTGTGTGCGATTCTCAATATATGATGAGAACCACCGGTAAAGGTCCCCATGAATACCTGTCAGTAGTAATTTATCCAGTAGCACTGTATGATTTATTCTGTCAAAACATTTGGAATAATCTGTATATATAACATCCACTTGCGCACGCTGGTCCATGCCTTCAGATACAAATTCATGGGAGAGTATGAGGTTTGAAGTTGTAGATCGGTTTCTAAGGAAGCCATGTTGTTCTCCACCAAAATTACTTCTCACTGCTCCATAAACTTGTTTATGTATTATTCTTTCCAGGAGTTTAGAAAAAAGACATGTTTTAGAAATAGGGCGGTAATCCTCTACATTTGACCGATCTCCCTTTTTAAATACAGGGGTGATATATGCAGATTTCCATACCCTCGGTACAATACCCTCTGAAACTGATCGCTTAAATAAGATACACACTGGATCAACCAGGCTAACCGCACACTTGACTATAAAAATAGGTGGTATGGAATCAGGGCCGCCCGCCTTGGTCAAATCCAGGGATTTCATTAATTTTAATACCTCCTCATGACTAATTTCAATAGTGCTAATGTTAGTTACGGAATTATTATTTTCACTAGAAGGTATTACAATAGAGTCTGGGTTTTGGAAAGTGGAATGAAAGTAATTTGAGAATAAATTACATATGTCTTCACCTGTTTCAGCGATCGTGTCACGGTAATGCATCACATTAGGGAATGCATTAATAGTTCTTTTGTTTTTTACGTATGACCAGAATGATCTTGGATTGTTAATTATAGCAGATTCAATTTTAGCCATGTACGTATCGAAGCAACTTTTCTCCACTTCAATAGCTCTGGTCCGTAACAAAGAAAAAGAATGATAATCGGACAAGTTGTGATATTTTTTATATTTGCGATGGTACTTATATTTTTCTTTTGAAATTTTTATTAGAGCCGTATTGTACCATGACGGATAAGCAGTACTTTTTGTGATCTTTAACGGAATAAACTTATCCCTAAGCTCGTACAGTTTTCTATAGAAAAGTGCAACTGCGTCATCCAATGATCCAGTGAGTAAGAATTCGGCCCAATTAACTTTTTCAAGCTCCGTTATAATAGAAGTATAGTCACCTCTGGAAAAAATATATTTGTTTGTTAAATTGTCCGAAAGTTTATGATGTTCAACAAAGTCGGCTTGAATTGTTAAAGGGTTATGATGCATGTCTACAGGTAACGCAAGCGGATTTGTGCATTTACTTACGATTACAATGTCATTGGAAAAGATAAGATCTAAAAGCCGATTATTTATGTTACGCACACTGTTGTACTGGGCTAAACTATAAGTGTACACCGTGTCGAAAAAGTTCTTAATACATTGACATGTTATATTAAAAGGGCTTAATTCACCATTGTGGGATGTATCCGACCATTCAACAGAATTACCGAAGTTAAAGTCACCTAGCAAAATATATTTATCTAACGGATTTTTTAGTATTAAGTTGCTTACATTATTAGTAAAATTGAGTAATTGTGTATTATAGGTGTTCCCGAGGTTTTCCTTACATAAATAAAGGGCACATAGGTGTAAGTTATATTTTACTGAGGGCCTCGACTTTTTTAGGATAATGGTTACCCAAATATCTTCGGCAGAACTACGCCACTCGGGTCTTTCAATCACTGCGAACTCCTTTTTGACGGCGACTAATACGCCACCACCACATTTCTGGGCAGTACGGCCGTATTCACGATCGCGTCTCCACACAAGGTATCTATCATCAAAGAGTTCACTACTAAAAATATCATCTAAAAGCCATGTTTCCGTAAAAACAATAACATCATAGGCGCTAAGACAAATATTACGATATAAATTACAAGTCTTCGTACGTAGTCCGCGTACATTTTGGTAATAAATATTTATAGAAGACACAGTACATATTACCAATAACAGTATAAATAATGCATACAATAAAGCATGGTGTTATATAAGTAAATAACATACGCACAGTCACAAGTTTCCAATTACTTGACATAAAATTATTGTAATGAATATCTTTTGTGCGGGTATAAGTTAAATATTTAGTAAAACACGGCAGCACACAGTGAACACAACAACACATCATTGAAAGGCGGCTATCTAATAACCGATGAATAGAAATAAAAGGCGGTCCATAGTTACAAAACATCACAAACGTCAACTTAAGACATTCAAAAATATTCCTTATGTACACTAAGTTATGGCTAAATTTACATTGGGATGCGATTATAGCAGGTAGCGAATAGTTTAAGTACTTGCAATGACACTCACCTATATATACTACAACAATACATACTACAACTAACACATACACATAACTATAGTATTTTATAGAAGAAATTACATGTTAGATTTAAGTATCTACAATAATACTCAAATCGGAAATTTCATTAGCAACTCCTCTGGTCTTGTGGAAATTTAAAGATGACTCTAATTACTCACGTTAAAGAGTAAACAAAAAGCCAGTATATTTATATAAATCGTCGCCGTATATAAGTCGTCGCAAGGTTTTATTGTATGAGTTAGAACCGCCAAATTTTTCATGGCATTGTATTCGACGGTAAATTCCAATGTTTTTCACGCGACCCAATAAAAGTTTGACTTTTATGGGTCAGTGTGAGCCCTTAAATGCCTTCTTGTGTAACAATAGACACGTCACTTTTGTATAGAGGTGTGACGCTAGAGAAGTGATGAATTTATTCACATTTATTTTCGGTCAGAATTATTCCTTTGTGTTGTAGTGTTT